CCTTCTCCATTGGTGGTAGTGCAGACTGGTGCAACCGTTATGGAAATCAGTATGGAGATACCTCAAAGAACTAAGGCTAGAGGTCCCATTTGACCCAGCTATTCCCCTGTGGAGTATCTTCCCCAACGAATTAAAAGAATCGTACCACAGTGATATACGTGCACCCATGTTTATAACGGAACAGTTTGTAATAGCTAATGCTTGGAAACAGCCCAAGTGCCCATCAACTGGAAATTGGATAAAGAAGATGTGGTTTTTTAATAAAATGGAGTACTACTCAGCCATAAAGAATGAGAAACTGGAGACATTTATTCCTAAATGGATGCATATTGAGGCCATACTCTTAAGTGAAATAAATAGGACATACGTGTGTAAATACTGAATAGTTTCTCTAGTGTGAGAAACTGAAAGTGTAAATAAGCATTGAAATGATTAAAACAAATAATTGACAATTTGAAATAGGAAAAAGTCCAAAGGTATAGAGGTGGTGGGAGGGGAAGAGGAAAGGAAAGAAGGGAAAGGAAAAATTATCAGAAAACAAAAACGTGGAAACGATATCTGTGTAAATAGGTAATGGTAGAGGGGGTGAAGGGTGCACAGGTAATGGGGAAAAAAAATAAGAACCAAGATACATCATGTACAGGTACAAGCACCCAATGATAAATGTAAATACTGAATACCTAAAATGTACCAATAAAAGAATTATTTTTAAAAAGCAATAAACATCAATAAGCAATAAAGCCCAATAAGAATGAGTTTAATATCTTTCCTTAGATTCTGAAGGAACTGAGTTTCTAGCTTATGATACAGATTGATAGCATCATTCTCTCAGTGAGGCACAATTATGCAAATTAATGGAAAATCAGGTAACAAGATGCTAATAATGGACATTTTATTATTTATACACAACATATATATTATGATATATATTTCCACAAATAAAATGGAGTAGTATAAGCTCCATTTCTCAGCAAACACTCAGTAATATAATTCACATTATTTGTAGCTTAGTTGCCAATAAAACTTTCAACAGCTGAATAAATATCTGAGATCTTCCCTGTCTTTGTTTCAATTTACTTGCACACCTGTGAGCCCCTTTCCATTGCTCCAGCTGAAACACCAGGAGCCTGGTTCCTAGTGGTTTTAACTGGAGTTGAGTGCTTAATTTCCTGCATGCTGCATAAAAAGCACCTTTACATGTCAGTCTCCAAAAGCATAATGCAAAAAGAAATAAACACTGATTTTTATATGGAATCCCTTATATATGAATTATCCCATAAAGCAATACAAACTATGAATCCAGCACTGGTAGTCCAGGGATGGTGTAAACAAATGTGGCAGTCACAGAGTACTCAGCAATAACTCACAGAAAGGCCACCTTGAAATGTCAAAAAATATATTTCTGCCCCAGTATTTCTTCTCAAAACAGAGTGTCTGCCTATGAAATTTGCTGTCAATCACAGTATTCCCCACACTTAATGCAAAGAAAGTGAAAATTCTTTATTACAGGATTGATACAGTAGCTCACACAAGCACTTCCAAAGGAGAAACATGGTATAGCAGCATTAAATCAATTTTCTTGGTACCGGGTTACTAGAGACAAGTATTACTAGTTGCTGCTGGGCAGGGTTTAAATATGACTCATCACACCTAACCCCATCTCTATTGTTTCCACCCCCCACCTAAAGTTTTGGACAACCAAAGAGTGTATGCTTACATACTTAGGTCACACTCAGCATATTCCTGCCCTTGTTTTCTTGTTATTCACTTCATTTCATGAAGTGTATACATACCTTCCTCATCACATTAATAGTTTTATAAGGAATCATGTATCATTGGTATACCCACCAGAACCCTGAAAAACCAGCATCTACCCAAGTTCTACTAAGCTACCAGTCCCCTGATAAAATATTTTCAATAAAGGCTGAATACAAAAGTACAATAAAGTTATTCCAAAGCATATACATTAAAAAGAAGAAAGTTATATATTATATCTTTAGTTTTGGGGGGAGGAATTTATATCTAAATCACTAGAATGAAGGGTTGGAGTGGTATGTTTTTAATTGTTAATAGAAAGAAATGAGCCTTTCCAACAACTCATATAGTCAGTAAATCCAGATACTTCTCATCAAATTTTCTGGGAGTTCCTTTGGATCCAGAGCAAGCTGCCTCTGATGGAACAATGTGAAAAGTAGAATTTCAAATTCTCGGACATTGCCCTCGGGAGCTCCTCCAAAGCATATGTTAGCAGGAACAGCTGTTGATCGTCCTCTTAAAACAAAGGGTCAATACTGGCAGGATTGTCCCTTTCTGCTTGACACTTTACAGGAAGGGAGGAAGAAAGACAATTTTTCTTTTCTTCTTGGGTTTTGCAAAAATGACATTTGGATCACTGGGGTCTTGGATCACCTTGCACCAATGTTTATACACATGAAGCATTTTTAAGATCAAAAATTGACAGGGACTCAGAGAAGAAGGATAAAAATCCCAGCCTCCCTATGACATTGATCAAATGTCCCCTCTGCTCACTATTTTCCCCTCCTCTGCAAGGGAGGCTGTTTGAGGGTCAGCTGGGTCTATGATAGAACTGTTTCCCCTCCATTTCCAGTGGGCTTCATTTGGGGCACCGCGCCATCCTAACCTGGCCATCTGTCCCCTACCCCTAGTTCTTTTAAGGTTCCAGAAGCTCAGACCTTAATTCCCTTTGTCTTTAATCACCCCATGAGCCTCCTTTCCCCCTTTCTGGACCAGTCCTTCCATTTTCTTATCTGTAGTCATAGCTCAGAGAGACCCACAGCCATCAAGAAACTCATCCATGACCTTAAATCTTACCATGTTCTCTTGATTAAGGGCACCATATTTTGTCTTTTTAAGAAACCTTATGTCAGGAGAACACCTTGGATGTTAAAATATAGTACAGGAGCTTCTGGAGCTAGATTGCCAAGGCTCAAATACTATTTATGCTACCTCAAGTTGTGTGGTTCTGGGTAATTCTCACTGTGCTTCATTCTTAAGTAGCTGTAGTAAGAGTGTCTACCCCATATTTTTCTAATTTAGATTAATTGAGTCAATTTATGTAAAGTACATTTGGCACATAGAAGTACTATTATGTGTTAGTTGTTTTGGTCTTTACTAGCACTGAAATAGTTCACCTATGTTACCAATGGCAACAGAGGTATTTCTAACATATGCACATTCATGTCTTGCCCTCCATATTGATTAGCTTTATAGTTGCTGGGATAAATTACCTGACACCCATAGTAAAAAGGAGGAGAGATTTACCATGACTGGAGGATTCAGAGGCTTGGTCCATGGTCACTCAGCTCCAAGACAGGAACACCATGCTGGAAGGATGTGGTGGAACAAAAATGTTTAGTGGCTGGGAAGTACAGCAGGGGAAGAGTGACAGAGAGGAAGAGATCAAGGACCAGATATAGCACCCAAGTTCACAATTCTACAATCCACCCAGACATATGTGGAAGGGTACTTTAAGAATCCCCTAGGCACCTCCAGAGCCAATCAAGTTGACAAAGTCCACCACCACAAAGTCCAGTTGGCTGTTCTGATCAGAGAAGTAGATTTCTTCTTTGTGGTGACTCAACCAACGAAGCACCTTCCACTTATGATTCTGCCATTCGGTAGAGTCTTGAAGTCCACTGTCAGGTCTTCTCTTCTGGCCAGCTGACTAGGGAAAAGAGCAAGCAGGAGCAAGGACATTATGGAGACAGTGTGTATGGGCCCAGCTTGGACCAGCTAGATTCAACTCCCTCACATATCCCATTGGCCAGCACTTACCCACATGGGCACATCTATCTAAGGGGAGTTTTAGTCTAGTGTGTGCCCAAGAGAAAGAAAAAGAAGGCTTTAGTGGTCACATGTTAGTTTAGTCTCTGCCACAGCCACCTCATGGCCTTCAAGGGAAATTGTTCCTGAATAAACCACAGCCTGCTAGAAGAGAGAAACAATTTAAACACTAATTAACTCACTAGGAGCTATCAACTGACAACATTATCTCTTATCAGACACAACCTGTCTTCCCTCCCATTTCTTTTTCCTTACCTGCATGAGGCATGGATGTCTTCCAACTGGATGGTCACAAGATTAGGGAGCCAGGAGGCTTTCCACCTTGTTTGTCTTTGTCAATGGGAATGGTACAAGAGAAGGAATCAGTAAATCAATTGACCTGACTCTTTGAGGGTGAGTTGTACTTGCATAAGGTACTGGAAAGTAACACCAGGACTCAGCATAATTATCCTAAACTCCCAAATCACAGCCCTGTCTTTTGCCAAATATGCCTCTCTTCAGCCCTATGTTGGTGAGTCCAGTGACATTTAGGCAATCTCTGCTCTGGCAGGCTAGAATGAAACCATCTCTCTGTGGACAAGCACTCCCTCTATCTCTCCCTGGGACATGAGCTCCTTATACTCCAAAACTCCCTTTCTATCTTGAGAATTTTTAAAAGTAAATTATAAAAAGTATTTCCTAAGGTTGAGGATGTAGTTCAATAGAAAAACGTTTACCTAGAAGCACAAGACCCTGAGTTTGAGCTCCAGCACCACAAAAAAAGAGAGAAAGAGAAAGCTTCTATGCAAAATCTCCCAATTCTTATTGGAGGTTAATGGTTTTACACTCAGAAAACAAAAGGCACAATTTGCATATCTCTGCACAAGCCCCAAAATTCAGTTATGAGTATGAACTTCAAAATTTTTTCTGTGCTGTATTCCACCCTGGCCCTGGTCTGATGCCTATGTTTAGCAAGATTTTGTGCTGTCAAAAATCTTTTCAAATCATTAAAGACCCAAAATCTTGGCTCTGATACTACATAGGTTATTGACTTAGTTCATCCTTCTTCTTACAACTTCTCCCTTCAGGCAATATAATGTACTAGCTAAGAGTACAAGTCTGGAGCCAGATCAGTTAGGTCCAAATTTTGGTTCTGTCAATTACTATGTCATGTGTGTGAACTTCGGTCAGTTGCTTAGTCTTTACATGCCTCTGCTTCCTCTCATAGATAATTGGAATAACAATAATATCAATCTCCTGGGACTGGTGTAAACATTAAGTGAGTTAATAGAGTGTGTAGAACAGGATGTAGTACACAGTATTTGCCAACACAATTTAAACTAGGGTGCACCATTGTTCACTATGTAACAGATATAGTTCAGTATGTAACAGATATAGTTCCTCCTTCAGCAAAAACTTCCACCTCTGAGCTTGAATGGATATGCTGGGCATGTGGATCCCCTCAGTCCTCAGGGAAGCTGGACAAGATTTTTCAGTTATCTGCTGCTTGAGCAAACTCAGTACCTTAACTCAAATTGCTATGTACAAATGTTATCCTTTTTCTAGTTGCCATGGTTTGATAAAGCAGGAAAATACTGTCATAAAAGTTTCTGCTGAGACCCAAAAAGGAGATCTTATTCTATTAAAGTTAAAACAGTAACAATAATAATCTAGGTTATACTTACCCCAGTTTTCTACTACATTAAGGCCAATAACTTCTGACTCAAACTTCTTAAAAATCCTTCACAGGGCAGAGCATCATTACATTAGAAGACAGAAGACCAGAGGATACCAGAATTTCTTAAGCACCTACCTGAAAAATCTCTACAAGTGGTTCTTGAACCAGAAATTATGGATAGTGTCAGACAAAAGGAGATTTTTTTCATTCCGAGATACCAGAATTCACCCGAAGTCTAGTTATGATTCCCATGGGAACACCCGGTGCTCGCTCTACTATGCTTGAAGACATCTGGCTTGCTCAGTCTTGGAATCTGTGGGCTACATGTCACTGCTGTGTTCACGCTGACCATGTCTTTCAAACCCCCAACCCTGTATCCTCTTAGTCATTCACAGAGGAGATAAATTCAAATAGTGGCTCTCTAGATGCCGAGACATCAAACATCAAAAACAAAACAAAAAAGTACATAGTCAAACTTTGTCCACATTTGTGGATGTGAAAATAGTAATATGAACACTAGATTTTTATATAACAAATTCAAAGAGTTTACCAGACACTCAAGTGTCATTCCAGCACCAGTTCAAAGCAAATTCTGACTTCTTTTAAATCTCTTTAAATTATCCCTTCAACAAGCCATCCCATAACAAAATTGATCATTAAGATGGTACTTGTGCCTCAAGTCCATTATTAAAAAATCATCTAAAAACAGAAATCATAATTCTTTGTTTTTTATAGCACTTCACAATTTCAATGATTACATTCATGTGTTTTGACCATAGAGCAAATAAAAAAAAATCCATTCCATTCTATTTTTTCTCATTTTCAGGCCCCACCCAATGCTAGGTCTTCCTGGCCATAATAGAACTTCAATTGGGAGGGGGCCATGTTGAAACCCGTTCTAGAGTCCAAAAACTAAGGGGAACTTTTTCTCCTGCTGTCAACGATCTATATAATAACAAAGATAGTATTTCCCAGGCTCTGACTATGTACCAAGACAATGCCCGTATTGGGTGTATTTGCTTCCTCACTAGGCAGGAACACATTCTTTCAGTAAAGGAGATTACATTTGTATAATCAAGCTCCCTGAAACTTCCTTGAGATTCTGTCTTAGTTCATTTTCCTTTGCTTTGAAGAATACCTGAGACTAGTTAATTTATAAAAGGAAGAACTCGTAGTTCTGAAGGTGGAAAGTCCAGGGTCATAAAAGTGAGTGCACTTTACCAGTTTATCATCTAGAACTTTAATAAGAGAATTTTCTATCAGCTCTACCTTAAACATTTATCTAATACTTTTGTTTTCAACCTTTCTAGTTCTAGGCAAATATGCTTTAAATAATCATTCTAATAATTTAATGAGTTTGGTACTTTATGTCTGAGAGAAATTTAGCTGCCAATTTCACATAAGCACACCTAATGTCTAGTAATGCTGTGTTACCATGGGCAAATCAGGGATATTTAATATTTCTGCTTTCATTTATCTCTTTTGATATTTTAAATTCTTGTTATCCCTTTGATCCCTTATTACCTTTTAAAGTTATTGTTTACACACTTATTTAAACAAAACCATTGTAATATTTGCATACTGCTGCTGTTTGCATGAATGTAATGTTACAATCAGATAATAATTGACAATAAATTAATTTAATCATTATTTTCATAATAGAATATTTACCGCTATTTGCAGACCTTTATGATTTTTGTAAAAATGTTTATGTTGCCATTTTTGTAGGTCAAAACAATTTAATATTAGAATTTTCACATGGTTTGAAGTAATACAAGCATATGCTCTGGCCTTAAATTATAGTCTCTAAATTTTGATATATAACAAACATGTTTCCTGGGAGGCTGCGTGGAATACCAGAAAGTATAAGTGGGGGAGTTGATCAAACATGGTTCTGAAGGTTGACTCTGCCTATATACTAGTTCTGACCATGTAAAACTTCTTACCTTCGCTGAGCCCTTAGTTATCTCACCTGTCAAATAGTTACTACCTGGAAAATTACCTTGATGATTAAATAGGAAAACACATATAAAGCACCAAGCAAGGATTGTTCCAGCCTGACTTGCAGAAACATTCAACAAACATTTGGTCCTTCCTCTTTTTTTCTTCTTCCTCCTAACTAGAAATCTAATTGGCTCTAAAAACAGTTGTCTGAAGGGCAATTGACAAATTGATCAAATAACCACCACTAACTTTTGTGCGTGCGTGTGTGTGTGTGTGTGTGTGTGTGTGTGTGTGTGGTGAGTTGAGCTACATATCACACTATAATTTAATCTGCCTTTCTGGCAAAAGCTGCTCTTTTTTTTAATGACATTCATCATTGGAAATTTGTACCTTTACCTAATCTCTCTTGGTTCTTATTTTTCCCCCCTTCCCCTGCCCTCCCTTCAACCCCTCCATCCCCCCTTATTTACAGAGACTTTGTTTCCATTTTTTCATTTTCTCATATTAATTCCATTCCCTTCTTTCCTTTCCCCTACCCCTCCCACTTCCCCTTCCCCTTTGCCC